AAATAAACTCTATAAGGGTGTTAGGTAAATGGGTATATGACCCGACACTAGCCCATGTTAACATGGCCATATAAATGGTATGGTGAAGTCAGAAAATTGATATCTTCATTTTAATTATTTTAATTCTCATACAAATCGGATTTTATAAAATTTATTTTGTATGAAAATTAAAATTATTAAAATGATGATATCAAACTGACTTCACCATACTATTTTATGACCATGTTAACATGGGCTAGTGTAGAAATAATGATAAAATCACAAAATTTAAACATCAATTAAAATTTTGTGATTTTATCATTATTTCTATATTATTTCCTGTATTCAAAACAATGCTACTTTATACTTCTTCTACTGCTACTTTATTCTAATTTAATTATTTGTTACTTGTGCTGTTAATTACAATTCTCAATCCGTTAAGAATTTCTTCTTTCTACCGTGTTCGTACTACTGTCCTCGTAAAATCATCGAAACCGATTGTTGTAATCGGATTACAATTAACAACGTGAACATCACTCGACCATGTATGTCCATTTGGACATATCGGAATGGCACGCTTTGACGATCAACTTGCTGTATCTACTCTAATCCATATCTGTNTATACTGCTAATGTACAGCCATAGTGAACTTAAAGCTGTCTAATTTGTGCCCAAACTGGTTCTATAAAAGCATTATAGCAAGCTATACAGCTCGTATACAGCTGACATACACAGCTTGTGGAGTACATGTGAACGACTATTGAACTCTTAAATGGAGTAAAATGTTACTTGGGATGTTACGGTCAAAGTGATAAATGTGAAAATTATGAATAATCGCCGGTTATTATGAATAATTACTGCATGATTTGGTAAATGTGATTAATATGAGGTCATTTATGTGTGTATAAAACTAAATAGGCGGCTTGGGGGTGGCCCAAGGGCCACCCCCGCCGCACCTTAACCTATTTTTCTAAAACATTATGTTATAGGCATCATGGAAAAGTAATATTATGCAAGAAACATTCCAAACTCATTATGCCAAATTATATTAATATATGAATCAAAACGTTCAAAAGTTTGGCTGTACACGAACACGTACCTACACAAGATGTTGTTCTTTTTTATGAAATTTGTTAGTACTAAGGTTAAATTATTAAATAATCACTGTTATNCAACGTGAACATCACTCGACCATGTATGTCCATTTGGACATATCGGAATGGCACGCTTTGACGATCAACTTGCTGTATCTACTCTAATCCATATCTGTGGTTCTGTCACTGTCAAAAATAACAGTTTTGCCGCCGGCTGGCGAGTTATTTCTCTTACTTTGAATGAAAATTATTACCCCATTTACCAACGTAACTTGATGTTTTTCCGGATATTCATTCAGGTAAATAATTGTGACATATTTCTTTAAACAGAAAGTATAGCACCTATGTTATTCTTTGATAAAAAATGAACTTTTTTTCATTCCATTCCAGGTTATTGGCGGGAAAGCTACATGACATTGTTTATCAATCAAAACATCTTTTTAATTGTTTTCACCAGTACTCACGGATCAGGTACATAAACAATGGACAAAAGAAAACAATCCAAAGGGCCGCCACCAAAGAGATTCAAATCGCACGATGACGTCGAAGATAATGACACGCCATGCAGTTTTGAAGAGCAACTCGCTGGAATGGAATGCGAGTTTGACTCTCAAACAATCTGTGGTGAGGGGCCAGAAAATCAAACAACAAATATGAAATGGAGCAGACCACCGCCACCTGACTTTGATCCCAAGAAAGAAAAGTTAGTATTTCAACAATTAGATATCGACCATTACAATGGGCAGCCTATCCAAGGAATGCCTGGATCACAGATAGGCCCAGTCCCTATCATGAGGATGTATGGTGTTACAATGGAAGGTAACTCAGTATGTTGCCATGTTCATGGATTCTCACCCTATTTCTATGTAACTGTACCTGTTAATTTCACGGAAGCTTCTTGTATTGATTTGAAAAACACTCTGAATAATGCACTTCTAGAAGATTTGCGTCTGAACAAAGATAATATTAGAGAGTGTGTTCTGGAAGTAAGATTGGTCAAAGCTCGTTCTATTATGTACTATAAAGGAGATAATGATATAGTATTTGCAAGAGTGTCTGTTGCATTACCGAAATTGATTGCAGCGTCAAGGAGACTAATTCACAAACAACCAACATCATTTGGTTTGATGGACCCATCTTTTTATGAAACTAATATTGATTTTGACATTAGATTCATGGTAGATACTTCTGTGGTTGGCTGCAGTTGGATTGAATTACCAGAAGGAAAATGGACATTGAGATCAAAAAATACACCAATAAAACCAGAGTCCAGGTGCCAAATTGAGGTAGATGTTGCTTGGAATGCATTTATTTCTCATCAACCTGAAGGAGAATGGTCTAAAGTAGCACCAATTCGTATATTAAGCTTTGATATTGAATGTGCAGGCAGAAAAGGTGTATTTCCAGAACCAAATCATGATCCTGTCATACAAATTGCGTCAATGGTTATCAGACAGGGTGAATTAGAACCATATTTAAGAAATGTATTCACATTGAATACATGTGCCCCCATAGTGGGATCTCAAGTACTAAGCTTCCAGTCTGAGTCAGAAATGTTGGCTAAGTGGTCAGATTTCTTCCGTGAATTGGATCCCGACATTATAACTGGCTATAATATCAGCAATTTTGACTGGCCTTATCTTATCAACAGAGCCAAACATTTAAAGATCAATAATTTTGACTTTTTAGGAAGAATCAAAAACATAAAATCTGTAATAAAAGACTCGATACTCCAGTCCAAGCAAATGGGTCGTAGAGAAAATAAAAGCATTAATTTTGAAGGAAGGGTTCCTTTTGATTTACTTTTAGTTCTTGTGAGAGACTACAAACTTAGATCATATACACTGAATGCTGTCAGTTACCACTTCCTGCAGGAGCAAAAGGAAGATGTACATCATAGTATTATTTCAGACTTGCAAAATGAAAATGAACAGACCCGAAGAAGACTAGCTATGTATTGTTTAAAAGACGCTTATTTACCACTGAAGTTATTAAATAAACTAATGTGCATTGTTAATTATATGGAAATGGCCAGAGTGACAGGAGTTCCACTGCTTTGTTTACTTACAAGAGGTCAACAAATCAAAGTAGTCAGTCAATTATTACGAAAAGCTAAAGATGCCGGTTATTTGATGCCAGCTTATCAAGGCACAGGTTCAGATGATCAATTTGAAGGTGCCACTGTTATTGAACCAAGGAAAGGGTACTATGCTGATCCAATATCAACTTTGGATTTTGCTTCTTTGTACCCAAGTATTATGATGGCCCATAATTTATGCTATACTACCCTTCTACCAGCAAATATGCAGAAAGATCTTGATGCAGATGACATAACTACCACTCCATCTAAAAACATGTTTGTAAAGGCCAATATAAGAAAAGGGTTGTTACCAGAAATTTTGGAGTCCTTGCTTGCTGCTAGAAAAAAGGCTAAAGCAGATTTGAAAGATGAAAAAGATCCATTTAAAAGATCTGTACTGGATGGTAGACAGCTAGCATTAAAAATAAGTGCTAATTCTGTGTATGGTTTCACAGGGGCACAAGTTGGCAAGTTACCATGCCTTGAAATATCAGGCAGTGTCACAGCCTATGGTAGAACTATGATAGAATTCACCAAGTCTGAAGTAGAGAAAAAATACACAAAAGAAAATGGATATAAAGAAGATGCTGTTGTTATCTATGGTGATACTGATTCTGTTATGGTTAAATTTGGTGTCAAAACCCTTGAAGAGAGCATGGAGTTGGGCCGGGAAGCTGCTGAATTTGTGACATCAAAATTTGTAAAGCCCATAAAACTAGAATTTGAAAAAGTGTACTACCCATATTTGCTAATAAATAAAAAAAGATATGCTGGCCTATATTTTACAAGACCTGATAAATATGATAAAATGGACTGCAAAGGTATTGAAACTGTCAGAAGAGACAACTGTCCTCTGGTTTCTAATATGATGAGTACTTGTCTCCAAAAGCTATTGATAGATAGAGATCCAGATGGAGCAGTGAACTATGCAAAACAAGTTATTTCAGATTTACTGTGCAATCGCATTGATATATCCCAGTTAGTTATTACTAAAGAACTGACAAAGAATGATTATGCTGCAAAACAAGCTCATGTGGAATTGGCTAATAAAATGAAGAAACGTGATGCAGGTACAGCTCCTAAACTTGGTGACAGAGTTCCATATATATTGTGTTGTGCTGCTAAAAATACACCAGCCTACATGAAAGCAGAAGATCCCATTTATGTATTGGAGAATAGTATACCTATTGATTTTAACTACTACTTGGAGAATCAACTTTCTAAACCACTTTTGAGAATATTTGAACCCATACTTGGTGACAAAGCAGAATCACTTCTTCTAAAAGGAGAACATACAAGAACAAAAGCCATGGTAACTTCAAAAGTAGGTGCCTTAGCAGCCTTTACTTTGAAAAAAGAAAAATGCATTGGATGCAAAGTAGTCATGCCTAGTGATTCGAAAAAAGCTTTGTGCAACCACTGTTTGGATAAAGAAGGTCAGCTTTACATCACAGAGATATTCAAATTGAGACAACTACAAGAAAAATTTTCAAGGCTCTGGACAGAATGTCAAAGATGTCAAGGAAGTCTCCATGAAGAAGTACTCTGCACTAACAGAGACTGTACTATTTTTTATATGAGAAAGAAAATGGGAATGGAATTGGATACTCAAGAAAAAAGTGTGCTACGCTTTGGTGAACCAATTTGGTAAATATTGTTTGTAAGCCTGAGATTGCCTGTGTGAAAGGGCCCTTACCTACCTATTATGTAACTCATTTTGTTTTATTAGGATGTTATGCATAAAATAAAATTACTTTAATTTATTGTGTGTGTTTTTATTTTATTGCACATGGCAGAGGATACATAATGACATTAGACAATACATTTTGGAATGTTTTTGGTAAAAATATAAAAATATTTTCATGACATTTTAACCAAATATTTAGTAAAGAAGTAAGGTACAAGTTATGCCCTTTATTTATGTACAAGTTCATTGTAATTAATAACAAAAGAAAACACTAATCAATGAATGAGAACTCTGTTAAAGGGTAAATGTGAAATTAAGATCCCTCATTTTTATCATAAATCTATGTATTCGAGTTGTCATTATTTTGCCAGATCATACACATGGATTTTTATGAGACTTCCGATGTATTTTTACCATATTCAGTTATTTGGTTGCTCTCAATCAATGATGGGTGTCAGTGACATACAGAATGCATTTAAAAAATACGTTGCCCTGTCTGGTGTTTTCAAACTTCACGTTTTTTTTTCATAGGATGAGGTCCTCTAGTTAGCTCTAAATAAAGTTATGTTCGTTCATATCTATTTAAAAAATAAGAGGCATAACTTGTACACACATGAACATTACATTTACGAAACCACAGATGCACATCATACATAGTAACAAAAAACATATCACAGGGATCAACATTTATAGATACATAATAATAATCATCAGCCTCGATTAACATGGAAATAAACAATGTACAGTCGACAGCACTATACATTTTCGTTGCAAAGTCGCAACTACAATACGTATACCACAGTGTTTACGTTGACGTGCTGTCGACTGTACCTATAAATAATCATAAATATTTTCAATTTGGTTTATGAGACTCTAAATTTTAACAAAAATACCTTTAAGACTGAAATAAGCAATTCAAAATTAAATTAACACACTTTCCCAAATAATTAAATTATATTTTATAAAGATAAATAGGGCAATAGAGGGGAATGAACACGAAAGTTTAAGATTTTTATAAATAGTACTACCACAGCCATCAAAGAAAAACAAAACAGATAAGTTTAGTATACTTTTAAATGCGAAGGAATTAGACAAAATATTTCCGATTTTCTTACGAATATTCATTTCCAAGTTTTCAATTAAACGTCTGTACAAAATGAAGCTACAAGCCTATCTATCTACCCAACCACTCATTAAAATTTACACATCACAAGAGACTAATGCATGGAGCCCAAACCACATAAAAAGACTTCAGGCGAGCGGGTACGGGTGACTTTTGTCACCGTGAAAGTATGTCGCTCTTTTTCTCTTTATAAGGGTGTAAACGAAGTGGCTTTTCTTCCTCATTCCGTTACATAAACACAAAGATAAGGACTCAATACAAAATTGCGCATTACATAATCAATAGGACAAGAGAATTCATAACTCAGTTTAAAAAAATCAATAAATTAAATACCTACATAAATAAGAATGTACTGTAAAATAAATAATTTTGTCATGTGCTTATAGCATCTATGCTTTTGTGTACACAGAATTAATATTAATTATTATTATGTGTCTAAGTACTAGTAGAATAAACAATTTACATATTTCTATCCAAAAATACCTACATTTTACACTGATATTTTTTATTACACAACGCATTTTCGTAGCATAAATTAATGCTATCAACAATTAATTCATTTTTAGTGTTACACATAGTAATTTAAATACATACAAGCTGCTATTTTTATATGAGATAATATTACTCAAGGCCATTTTACAGTTGAATACAGTTGCCATTACTTATCAAGTGTATTGTGGAACAATAAATTCCATTATTTTTTTATGAACAATAAAAAAACAGTTATTTGACTCCTAATGCCCAATGTTTTTAAATGACCCCACAATATTTCAAAAATATATTTTTTATACAAAAGTAACTAACACTAAATTTTCTATGTTTCTGATAATTTTTACAAGTGTTTTTTTTAAGCATTATGATAAATTGTTCCAGTTTTTCATCTATTTTCCTGAGATAGAGATCTACTAAGACTCTGTTTTGAAGTTTTATTGTTCAGTTGTGATTTGTTCAAACTGTTTGGTTTGGGTGGTACTATATTAGAAATAGGCATTTCAAATGGAGAATTACCAGTAGTACCGCTAGATAGCCTCATGATATCTTCTAGTGTTCTAATAAATGTATCGCAGGTTGCTGTTAGAAGACTAGACGCATCATCAATTTTCTGGAAATAAATCATAGTTACCAATTAAATAACACAACATTTATTTGTGATTTGTGGTGTTAAAATAGCTATTTACTGTAGTTAAACAACACTTTTAGGTATAATCTGCTAAAAATTCACCATATTAGCCAACTGAGAAGCAGAATAAAATTCTTGTTATTTTTCTTAGGCTCGGTTGCACCATCTTACTTTAACTTTAACAAACGTCAGATATCTGTCAAACTCCATACAAAACACACCATTTATCGTTGAAGTTACGGTCAAAGTTAAGTGGTGCAACTCAGCTTTAGATTGTGTGCTGCTAGACCATTTGTATGTAATGAAAGAATAAAATTAAATAAATTACCTGTAATTCAGGACCTCCTTCAGTATTGACTGCACTTTTGACAGCATGCACTTGCTGCATCATCAAATCACAGTACAAACGTAGCTCAGACTTCTTGTGGCTCAGAGAGTTTGTTTCATCAAATGCTGTAACTGAATTTTTAAATCAGATAAATATGGCTTCAGATGAAGAATGTTGGGTATACCAAGTTCATTTTGTGGGATGTGCTGTAAAGTATGGGCTATCTAACTAAAGAAAGGTTAGCTTTAACTTCAAATCGTAATGTTTTCATCATAAATTAAAACAACCTAAACATTTATTCAGTTGTTTTTATTGTCTGTGGCCCGCTATTGGCAGGGGGGCACCCGAGTGGCCCTTGGTCCTAGTAGTTTGTGCATCCCTGTCAGAGGTATGACAATTTACTGTTTATGAATTACCTGTAGGTTCTGCCTTAGAGTCAACACATGCTTTTGCACTACCTAGTGCCACCAGCCACTTTTGCCTGTCTTGAGGTGATGGAGCTCTCAGGTACATGTGTTGCTGACCAGGTATAACAAGATCCAACCTTGTATTGTCAATGTTATTCACTGGAAATATTTTTAAAAGTATTATTATGTGTATTTACGATGGATTTCTAACAACTTTTGTTTATATTTTTTATGGATGACGAGATAAGACTTACCGTTTATTTGGCATACTGATACTTTCACAGATCCTTTGCAGCCTTGATTTACTTCTTCCTGAGATTTGTAATATGAAAGAATACCATTTTCTAAGATAAACCACCTTGTTTGCCAACCTAGACAAGAATTAAAAATTATTAAAGAAATACTACTCTAGCCGCATAAACCAGTGAATGTAATGCCACAAACCATTCCAATAATTAGTCCATTTCCATAAAATTCCTTCCATGACAATTTTTGAGATTATGTTATTCCAATAAGAATTTACAAGAATTTTTTCTGACTGCTGTCTTGTTGGATAGAAAATGTCAATCAACAATTTTTATCTGCACATGACAGTTGACATAAGTATTTGAAATCATAAATTGAAATATCGATTCAAAAGTAATATCGATTGAAATCATGTCCAAAGATAGTACAAAATAATAGAAACCCCAAGAACGAACAACTCTCGCAATCGCAAGTTCAAGTTCAAAGTAAAGCTGACCTGACACCGGCACCGCCCTGAGCCCCGATTACGGTAATTTTTAACGTCAACAATCCAGACACGCTTCTCGATTCTGCGATACGATTGGTCGTTCAACAGCGTACGTCAGCTGTTTTGACCAATCGTATCGCAGAATCAGAAACGCGTCTGGATTGTAGACGTTAAAAGTTACCTTAAGGCTTAATCGGGTCTCTGCTGTCTACTGTGTGTATGAAGTCGGCTGCAAACTTGCAACATAATAATTATTGCGCGATTCAGCGTGCACTATGAGTTTACGTTAGTCTGCTTTATAAGGTTACTTTTATGTATCTTTATATAATTTTATACGATCTTTGCCGACATGTTGTTTTTGATCTGTGCCAAAGCTTCACTGCTGCCAACATGAGAACCGTATAAGGATGTTACTGATACAGTTATTACAGTATTAAATCGATATCGATATGTAAAATCATGTTTTACCACTTCTCTAGGGGGCTTTGGGTGGCACCATCTATCTACCAAAAGCTTTGCTAATAGAACATAAGTACCTACTACGTATTATTGTTGCTATAAATATAAGAAATTTCAGTCAAAAACTTATTGTTATAGTTAATTTGGAAATGAACGACTGTTAAAAACATAATATTATAGTTATTCTGGATTATCGATATAAAATCACACACAGTCACACACATCCTTAGTCCATTGACGGGTGTGGTTGGTTTGTCTTCTATTGTTTACATCCGTTTTCTTTTTTCTTTGATAAAGATTTAAATGAAAAATTGCTTAATTTAATAGATTAATCATGACCAAGTTTTATCCCAACGTTATCATTTTTATATTTACTATCACCACCTTAGGAAAAGGTAAAACTTACAAAGATATGACAAAATATTTGTTACTAAATTTGCCGTTTTATTTTGGATTAATTTATAAAATTTGTTTTAGTTTTGGGACTTGAGTGCTATGTTTGTGAGAACCAAGAGGATAACAATGAGAAATGTGTTAAGACAATCAAAACTTGTGAACATAACCAAGATGTGTGTCTTACTGAAATCAGATGGGGTAGCACTCCCTATTGGTCCCAAGGAGCTAAAAAGCAATATTACGTTTCTAAAAGATGTTCTAATAAGACAGAATGTGCATTGACTAGACAACATTATATGCCTTTATGTACCCATATTTGGTATCAGGATTGGGTTTGTTCCGATTGCTGTCAAGGGGATCGTTGCAATTACTATGTCATTGTGAGTAGCTATTTATAAAACGTGTATTCAGTTAAAGCTCTGCACTGTGCTCAGTGCTCTGGACTGAACACATCTAAAATGTATTTGCAATTGTTTTGCCCAACGGTCTGAGATTTACATTTGTGTGCTTTCTTTTTCAGAGTGGAACCTATGGACTAAAACCTGTTCTCAGTATTTTAAGTGGTATCTTCCTTTTACAACTTATACTGTAAGCAAATAGTTACTCATTTCTACCGATGAATGGCATTTTAATAATACTTTTAAAAAAAGATGACCTTAGTAAGTGGTGATTTCATGGAAAAATTACTTACTGCACACTAGGTACTTTAATTTTTAAAAGCTGTCACAACCCACAATAAATTTTATTTTTTAATGTTTGTTGAAAATTGGTCTGTCCAATTTTTTTATATGTCACCAAAAATTTAATACTTGAATTTTCCAATAGCAGGCATAAATTTATAATTTATGTCTGGTTAAACATTATAATATGTATTCTTAGTCTAAAAGCACATTATAATAAACTATTTCTTGCTGAGATTTCTGTACTTATGTCATTTTGAGTGTCTATAATTGAAAAAAAAAATTGGGTAAATAATGATTATTTATCCAACAACTGTGTAGTGTAGCTTATTTTATAACAATGGATTTTATTTTTGGACAATGTTATGAAATGGATTTTTACTGACTGAAAATGTCTCCTTTTAATCCTTCTTTTCTTATTGTGTATAGACTATGTAAATTATCCGTCCAAGTATTTTTAAGCATAAAGTAAAAAGTTGACCCAGTTATGTCTAAGTAAAATTTTATATTAATTTTAATCATTTTAACTGTAGCTACAGATGTACTTTCTAGATCTGATTAAATTGTTTGTAAGTAGGTAATTAAGCAAATGGTAGCAATATAAGTGCACAATTACAATTTAAATTCAAAGAGGGTTTAAAAAGGTTTTTTTTTATTTGTACCTATTTTAAGTAGAAATGAAATTACCTCTAATGCCTTCCAACTAATGTGTTACTTGAGATGTAATGCCTTTTTTTTTAATAAACTTTGATAACAAATAATATTGATATTTTTTTCTTAACATTTACCTAATTGTTTTTATCATAAGCCACGTCCACACACGTAGGCACAAGCACAATAGTCGATTTGATTCCGCCAGGTTTATGAAAGGTCACCCACAAGGTGTACCGACGACATCATATAGGTAGCAGGAAAGCGCTGGACGCAGGCCGCTACCAACCGGGTAACATGGAAAGCATTGGGGGAGGCCTATGTTCAGCAGTGGACGACGTCCACTGGACGTCCTATGGCTGAGATGATGATGAGGTCTATGAAAAATAAAATAGTCGACTAACTCGTTCTAGGCCTCCTGCAAAATGTTATAAAATTAGGCGTATAATCTAAGAGCTAGTGAACGCTAGACCTACGTTATTTTAAAAAAGCTGAAAGTTTGTCAGCGCATGCTTCCCTTCCAACAAAAGTAAAAGTACGTTTTACGGTATATTTTATCTAATTTATACTGAATTCTTCTTTGCACATTTGTGTGGGTTTGACTGAATATTCTGCAAAGTCGAGCATAAAAAGTAAAATGTATTCGAGCCCTTTTTGATTCTAAAATCGACATTCTGAATTTTACTAATGTTTAAACGTCATACCTTATTTAAAATTTACAAAANGTAATAAGGGAATATTCTGCAAAGTCGAGCATAAAAAGTAAAATGTATTCGAGCCCTTTTTGATTCTAAAATCGACATTCTGAATTTTACTAATGTTTAAACGTCATTACGAAACGTCGTCACGCCTTATTTAAAATTTACAAAACCTGAGCCCCGATTACGGTAACTTTTAACGTCTACAATCCAGACGCGTTTCTGATTCTGCAATACGATTGGTCAAAACAGCTGACGTGCGCTGTTGAACGACCAATCGTATCGCAGAATCGAGAAGCGTGCCTGGATTGTTGACGTTAAAAATTACCGTAATCGGGGCTNTACAAAACCTGGATACCGGTATTATCGATAATAAAATGTTTGATAAAACATTAGTGACTACTCTAATGTTTTTTTTTTATTTACTGACTGACCAACCCACAGACCAACCAGAGTTTGACAAGTGACAATCTCCACTGCGCTCGCTGTTCTGTTGTCTGTCATCGGCATTGCCAGAGCAGCACCATTTTTCTTTTTAGAGTTCGAGAAGTTCTTAGGATTCAAAATGTATTGGAATAATCACAAATTAAGTCACTATAAAATATTACCAACTTTTATAATATTGGTAAGTTACAGAAATACATTAAATAATCCTCAGAAAATGCACTTATTGTGACGTGGGAATTGCTTGTTGATTTTATGGTTTATTACGGCCAAGTAATTGGTGTTTATTCATTTTAAAATGTTTTGTTTCACAGTTGTGCCACAGTTTTTACAACCCCACCGATAGCGGTGCTGTGCAAATTACTCAAAGCAATTTAGATATGGTGTTAGGTGAGTAATTGCGTGCGCATTCAAAGACCCAGGTGATGCACGCTCGAGGTATTTAGCGGCTAGGACCTCTGTTTATTTTGTGCTCATTATGCTCTAGTTGTTATAAACAAAAACCTAAAAAAGATCAAAATGTTTGAACTGAAAACTTTCTTTAGTTCCATACAACAAAATTAAATGAAACAGGAAAGTAAAATGGAACTTTTTTATTTCAGCTTCCAATGAGGTTGTGTTCATAAACTTTTATGCGGATTGGTGTAGATTTAGTAACATGCTGATGCCGGTATTTGATGACGCTGCGGATGAAGTATCTAAAGCTGGCTATGACACCGGGAAGGTGGTCATGGGCAAGGTGGACTGTGATAAAGAGGCGGCCATTGCAACTAGGTTTCACATTACAAAGTACCCCACTTTGAAGCTCTTCCGTAATGGCATGCCAGCTAAAAAAGAATATAGAGGTAAGATCAATTAAAATAACAACTAATGCATAAAACACTGTTCTATCGTGTCTAAAAATTGATATAAAGTTAAATACTTTTTTATGCACTGTCTCCTAATGACTTAATGACTATGTATTAATTGTACAATACATTATATTTAAGATTTAATTAACACTGCTACAACACTGTTGTCGACACGATAAGAAAAAGAAGAATATATTATACAAATTTGAAACAGACTGTTTGCTACAAAAGGTATGAGACTAAACATATAAACATTTTGATTTCATTTTAGGCCAAAGATCAGTAGAAGCGTTTTCAGAATTTATAAAGAAACAGCTGACCGATTCAATTGTGACATTTGGGTCGCTGAAAGAATTGCATGAACTGAGTGAGGATAAGAGACACATCATCGGCTACATGGATCGGCGAGACCAGCCTGAATATGAGATGCTGAGGAAGGTGGCAGCTAATCTTAAAGACGAGTGCCAGTTTCATGTTGGTTTCGGTGAAGCTTCCCAGCAAATGCATCCTCCAGGTATTTTCACAATAATTTCTTATTCTACCTCTAAAAGAGAAACTAGATAGACTCTAAGTTTAGTGCTTGGGAAACTAACTAACAACTCAAATAATATTACAACTGCCTAGTAGGTGAAAAACATTTGA